GAGAGAGAGAGAGAGAGAGAGAGAGAGAGAGAGAGAGAGAGAGAGAGAGAGAGAGAACAGGTAAGTCTCCAACCTTGCGGCTGACGTCAGGGTACTTCCATCGATAACGTGAGCAAAATCGAGTGAATCTACCGCTGGAACATGGACATATACACTGCCAGGCATGTGTGTGTCCCCTCGCAGATACCTACCCAGGACCCTCCGTTTCCAGAGAGCCCGAGGTCACATCACACATCCACACACGACCCACTCAGGCAACATCCCAGAGTTAGTGTATCATCCCGAAGGACTTTCTCAGGATATCATGCACATCCTTGGCTGAACATCTGAAAGGTTGAAATCCGTCTGGGTTTTTGAGTACCCTTCTAACCATCCCCCAACATCTTCTGCTGTTGAAACCATTATGACACATGCTGCTTACAATTTTTGCAATCTCCACTGCAACTTTTTGGGGGTTGGATGTGATAATGAGGACGGAGGCCGTTAGCCCCAGGATGATGGACAAAGATTGTTTGATAGGTCTGTTCGATCTATATCAGATATAGCGATTGACTTGCAGACCCATTTCCTCCACTTTGTCAAATCTCTCAGTACTGTATTCTCCATCCGTTGTGTTCACGGTGAGTTTGAGGTTTAGGAATGTACCTTTCTTATCCCCGATGCTCTGCTCCTTGATCTCGATGAAATCCGACGGGTATAGCCACAATGGATCATAGTCATCGTGAGGGCGGTCTTTTGAGAGAAAATCCCGGATGCAAGTTCCCAATCTCGATCAATTCATACCGGAAGAAACATAAATTACACCAGATCGGGGAGCACGGTAATCCCATGGGAATACCATTCTTAGGTCTCCAGACCCTCCCTCCGAACTGGATGTAATTTCTATCCGCCAGCCATTGATTCATTTCAATGAGTTGGTTGGGGTCAATCAGCCTTTCGTTTAGTTCCGTTTGGACAGACTTCGTCCAACCAACCCTTGTTTTTCCGTTCTCCAGTGTACAGACCTTCATGTATTTGTCACCTTCAATTCTCAACCTGTGAGCAAAGCCCTTCTTGATTGAGAAGGAGAGCGCAGAGATCAACCCATGTGTTGAATTATCCGTGGGGATAGTTTCAAAGCATCGGTTGATATCTGTTGAGGAGAACGAAAAAACTGCATCTGGTAGGTTCAGGCAGTATTTGTTGATGGAATCAATCGGCCACCAAAGGTTCCCATTGATGTCGTGCAAGCTTCTCAGTATGCGAGATTTTTCCACACAAAACTTTTGCATTTCAATACTAATTAGTCCAAGGGCATTAGCACAGATTTCAACAATGGTCGAGAGCATGCATTGGTTAGCATTCGTGATCCATCTCAGTGTTTTYTTATGGCTCTTATAGTTAGCCATCAGGTACGGGATTTTCTCAGGTTTTATTGGGTAGTTCAGAAAATTATCCCTACGCATGATCCGGATCATTTCGTTTGAGTCAGGTCCCAAGGGTTCAAAATCTGGTCCCGAGAGCCTTTCGAATGCTAACTGTCTGGCAAGATCTTTACATATGATGACCGGGGTGCTGGATGCCTTATCCATACAAGCAACGAAAAAAAACTTAGTGATGTAATCAATTTCATGCTTCAGATAGTGTTCGTTAATGTCCATAGCATCAGCGTTATTATGCCCCCGCTTATATTCCACAAATTTACCAAAACAGTGTTGTCTCATTCTACTCCTAACCCTACTCATCTACTCCTCTGCGAACTCATACTCTTTAGTGTATAGTGCCATCGTATCATCAAGCACACGTAAGACTTCTCCGACCGTAGCTTCAACATCCATATCCGCGGTGAGCATATGGTTCAGACCATATGCCAGGATGAGTCCGAGCTGCGGGAGGCGAGAAATGGAGTAATCCGTAGTGATGACATGCGGGCCTGAGAGAGTCCCAATCCTCCCTTCCTCTAGTAGTCCCTCCGTAGCTGATTCAGTGAATCTGGCGTATTTACTGTTGCAGGCACAGTTGCCTTTACTCCTCTGCCAGTTACCCGAGTCGAAGTCTCGAAACACCCTCGCAGGTCTGTACAGTGCCTTAGAGACTGGGTCATTATAGCTCCAGCCCAAGGTCACGGTCTCCATCCAGTCAGCAAAATGCTGGCCAACCGCCACCGTCATCAGGGAGATGATTAGTGACTTAACCGAGACTGCCTCCATTAGTCTATTGACATATCTCATATGTACAAACGTCCTTCGAGGTCCCTCGTCTAGTCTGCACCACTTCCTTCTACCAGAGAGACTCATACCGACGCGGCCCCCACACTCCTGCAAACACATAGCCATACAAAATAGTATTGCTGATGGGTCAAGGCACCCTAACCGTTGATATATCTATGTCTACTATATATTGTGCAAGGGAAGGAGAGGGTAGATAGACGAGGGAGCGGAAAGAGGAAAGGACACGGTAGGAAAAAGGAAAAAGAAAAAGGAAAAAGAAAAAGGAAAAAGAGAAAAGTGTGAGGATTGAGCCCTCAAGTAGGGACCTTGCCATGTTGTCCATGTTCTGGGCTAAGGCCCCAGCAAGCCTAGTGCCCGCCCTACGTGAAGGCGGGCCAGCAAATCAACAAGAGCCCTCTGTGCCAACATTTCACGAAGTGGGGTCTATACAGTTGCAGCACGCCATTTGGTTGGAGTGCACCGAGTCTCGGATTTCAGCAAATGCTGAAATGCCCAGGGCCKCTGAGTTAGTTAGGCCCTGGGCACTCGAACGTGAGGCCGACAATGCATGCTGGGTAGAGAGGCCGAAATGCCAAAGGGAAAATCGGCCCACTATSTGAATCTGGCCGCAGGCCTTGAGAAGAGAGGCACAACTGCATTGCTCCGGGGCCCAACAGTATCAGGAAGGCTTCAGCCTCTGGGTCCCKGTCGCAGGCTGAAGGGAGGCCGCCCACATGCTGCATTGGCATATAGGCAAGCSGGGCGAGGCAGCAGGGATCTTGGCCAATGCTGGCACATGCGGGCACGCTGCGCGGATGCATGTGTGCTGCGCTGTGCAAGGCAGTGCTGCGCTAAGAGCAAGCAGGCCAGCGCTAGGCGGTAGGGCGCTGCCTGCACTGAGGGCACTGGCGGCCATAGCCTGGGCCGCAAGAGGGTGCAGGGGAGGTGAGGGCGAAGGTGGTACTTCGGAGGTGAAGGGCGCTGTGTGGGTAACAAGGGAGAGTGTGGGGAAGATGACACGTACCCGGTGATGGTGGAATACGGCATTGGTGTTGACATCATCACTCGCTGGTAGTCAAGTTGTCTGGTTGCTGTTCATTGCTGTAGTTGTAGGATAGGCGGTAGAGTAGATAGGGTGTCTGGCGCCATTCACAAGAGAGAGCTACATTTGGGTTATGCTGTTGGTGTTGCCCTAATGGGCATGGACATTGACTCACGATTCTTCTGTATCATTCTCAATTGGATGGTTACTCGGTTCCATGTGCTATCTGCTTTGGCTTTGAATACTTGGACTTCAGTGTGATTTTGCATTCTGGATTTTTGTGCTTCGTCCATACTCATGTTCCTTGCAATTTGGTATCAGAGCTGGTTTGATCGCCACTTACCTTTGGCATGCTGGCGTTATACAAACTTGGTGCGTTGATGATGCTTCTTCGCAGTGGGTAATTGTGACGTCAGGCTACACTAGGTGCACGCCCTAGGTAGAGAGGGGTGCACCGGAAGGCTAATGACGGCAGTGTATGCCGTGGGTTACA